ATAATAATAATAATAATAATAATAATAATCATCATCATCATCATCATCATCTCGCTGCCGACTTGACCATTTACTCTTGCAAGTAAAACGTTTTGTATTTTTACCAAGAACAAAACAAACGGGGCGCAATGGAAGAATGCAATATCCAAAAGAAATACTAATCTATTTTCGTATCTCATGAAATCTCATCAACACGCACAAAATTATCGCTATAGTAATATAAATCATAAGTAAGATGCCTTTGACCTTCGCAATGAAAGTGTTTCCGTGTGTATCACAGGGCTGGGCTGTTACGAAATTCCGAACCCGGTGTATGAGTCACGCACATTAACAAAATGTCCCCGGACACGCCACGCTCAGGTTCGCACGCGATAGAAAAGGGAACAGTCTGGGTGTTGAATATGGAAGAGGATCTCTGCAGAATGAGTAATTCAGAACATCCAACAGTCACCATTCACTTGGTCATTACGAGTACATGCTACAATGTCGAAAAGTAAAGATGAAAAAATAAGTGAAATATCAAAATCATTTATCAGAACTGGATAATACCATATCATATGCTTTACGATCTCCAAAACATTAAAAAATGCGCTGGTTCCGATCGTAATAAAAATCATAAGAACATAAAAATCTGACATCTATCAAGCCTTTTGCAAATATTGTTTTATAATGCAACACCTGTACTTCAGAAAATTATTTCCAAATCAATGCAATGTCAAAAGAATTATTCTCTACCTCGCGTTGCTTTTTAACCCCCATAACAAAATTTCACATCATGTCATTCAATCATAAAGCAATTAGGCTCATATGACACACCTACGCTTGCTGACCGCCTAGTATACTGCAGTTGCAAGATTGAGTTGTATTGTTTTCTTCTAATTTTTGCCGCCTCAGCGAAATGCTTTTCGTGTTCAGAAAAGCTTGATCAACAATTTTAAATTTATTGAAAAGGTACTCTTCCAAGGCAAGGCGTGCATTCGTTAAAGATTGAAAAATATATTTGCAATTCTGTTGAACGTTCTGTCAATAGAATACAAATGGCATTTCACAGGTACGCAGTGAACAATGAAAACTGTACGGGTCACGCATTGCTAATTCGTCGGAGATTCGATGTAGCGAATTAAGGAAGAGTAAAAAGCCGCGGGTAACAGGGCGAGGAAAATGCCGGACCGAAGATAGGAGAAGCAGAAGAAAAGGGGAAATGTATAGACGGAAAGGTGCGAGAAAAAGAACGAATATTAAAGATAGGAGTAAATAAAGAAAATGAAGCGGAAGTAGAGGAGTGAACCGGAGAAGAACATGGGGAGGGGATGCGAAGGAAAATGAAAAGAAAGCAATGAAGGATAAATATTGGTATAACTGTTGGGGAAGTCACAAAATAGTATAATGCGAAAGAAGAACACGCTGAGAAATAAGGGGAGGGACAAAAGTTGAAGCGACATGGAACAATGCGACACGGTGAAAAACAAGAACAAGAAGACGAATAGGATTGGTTCACTGCTTGGTTAATCGGCCGGTCGGTAGGTCGGTCAGCGATTCCGATTCCGAGCGCGTAAACTACTAAGGTCATTAGTCCCGCCAGTGTAGAGCATGCTTTTGCTCGGGAGTTTGAGGTAATGTTACCCCGCTGGATGGCGAGACCTGGAGTCGACCAACCGTCGGCTAGTGGACTTTTCTACAACCAGGCATCTCCCGACCTGTCTGCCGGCATTTATGATAATGTAGTACATGCAAAAGTAAGTATGTGTAAGTAACGGGTAGGATAGCCGTGAGCGCGGTCCTCGGCCCGTTTGTTAGGATACTGCGCCGGCATTCGCGTGGAGTTGATCGGAGAAACCACGGAAATCTACCAATCAGAGCAGCCGGTCCCTAGAATTCTGTTCTAGAGAGCGACAGAAATTTGCCGCGCTATCTAGCTCGTGTCGAAAACGCT